TTTTTTCTACCTAACATTCGCGAACGCGAACTATCTGGACTGGTTTTGTGCTTCACGTTCGCGAAGGAGAATCAATACAGAATATTTGAATCGTTCACCTTCGCGTATAAAATCATAAATGTATGTTCGCGAAGATTCATATATGAATATATCCGAACCCTGGTAATTAGAACGAACAGGGGTAGAGGTAGGGATCTAAATAAAAACATGATAAAAAATAAAACAAAAAACAGACAATACCAAAAGCAAATGTATGTATGCATATTGGTAAAGTAAACCGCGAATCGTCATTCTGAAAAACCGCGTGACTGACATTTGCTGCCAAAAATTGGATTTGCTCACAAAAGCTTTTGGCTTTTGCGTCCTGAAATATACTACGTGTATAACAGGGAGTCGATAACAATGTTTAACCTGTGGTTAGTATTAAACAGACATTGAGTAACTGGTCCTTAGTCTTGCCGCGTGATTACCAATCGGGCAGTGCTCTGTCAATACACTCAGCAGTACATGCCTACATATCGACTCAGGAGTAGATATGAATCTATACCTAGTGTTGGGCAGTACCGATACCAAAAGTACTCAAAACTCGATTCTTAAAAGGACTGACGGTACCAGATTTTTTAAAGTACTCATAAAAGAACTCGAAAGTACTCAGAACTTAAAAAAAAAACTTGAAAGTAGTCAGAACTCAAAAATAATCTGTTCCAATCATCACTTTGACAAATGTATGTACTCAGGACCGGTTCAAAGTACTTAGCATTAAGTGTTAAATAGATACTTAAGAGCACTGAGTTCAGATTCAGAAATGATTGTACTCAGTTTCAAATTTCAAAAATATTAGAGTAAAATACTTGTACCCACTATAGTTAGCCATTTATTTGACGTTGTTTGAGATTAATATATTAATTTGAATAAAGTACTGCCAGCTTGTGAAATTTCTACACTGTTTTTTTTTGCATTGAAATGTTACCAACATGTGTATGCATATTTAATGAAAGTACTCAGTACTCTCGAAAATACCTGATCCTTAAAATTTATCGATATCAAAGAACTCGATCCTCAAAAGTACTCGATACTTCCCAAAACTACTCATAACTAATTACGGAGGTAAAAATATACTTTCTAGGTATTCAAAATATTTTTAAAACGCTTCAATATTTACATATCTATTTCCTAATATTTATTAAAAAAGCCAACATAACTGGCCATATGGATACGGCTTCCAGCTGGTTAAATGAATAATATGCACTTGTGTTTACACAATTTTATTTGAAAGCAATATTTTGCAGTTTTCAATACCCCTCGAATAAGTCTAAATGGTCAATTAGGAAATATCACTAGATACGCTGGGCTCTAAAATACTTTTAGCACTTATTTGTGTATTAAATTAATACTAATCTTTTTACATACATACATACATCCATACATATGTATGTAGCCACATGTCAGTAAAAAAACATGTTTATTTATGCAGATATGGCTGTGTGTATGTGCAAAAGATATTCTAGTAAAGATGTTGCTAACTCTAGTTTTTAACACATTTCAGATTTATTATGATAAACTAAGCTGAATGTGAAAATGCTAAGCAGATAATTTCACACACTTGGAGCAAATTTTGAGAAAAACAAAGTGCTGTTTTCGTTACCTACAAAAATAAGTAGAAATGGATTAGCAAAATACAAAATTTTCTCCAATCAGTAGAGCGTGTTTAATTATTTATTTCTAAAACAGGATTCTCACAGCAAAAGCGTTTTCCTTTTTTTAAATTTTGTTTATACTTACTACACATTTCAACGCACATTTTGTTAAAGAATTTTTGGTTCATTGCGACTTTGGACTCAAGGAGCTCGTAATTTCCTAACGCAAATTACTACTACATGTTTTCAGATTTTTATAATATTAATTTCATGCGCAATTGGCGATGGCAAAAAAAAAAAAATTAAATCGATTAATTAATCATATGATTAATCACAAGCCAAAAAAATTAATTAATCGAGTTTTTAATGGCACTTTTTAGAGTGAGTATTCGCAAAAACACTTTTCCATAAAAATTTCTAATTATCCTGTTAAATAGCCTTAAAGAAAAATAAAACGAGTATTTTTAGTGGTGAGAATTATTTATTACTAGCAAATACCTGGCGTGCTTCAC